AATATATTTATGTGGAAATGGCAAAAAGAATTTGTTCGTCAACAAGATATTACGAATGAATTCTTTGGCAGGTATATATAAAAGAATATTTCAGAGATCTAATTCTAATTCTTATATTATTTATAGATATATTGATGATATCTTGATGACATGGAATAGATCAGAAAGAGAATTGAAAGAATTATTAGATCAAGCAAATACATGGCATCCTAATATTAAATTAGATTATAAAATTAGTCAAAGTCTTCCATTTCTTGATGTACTTCTAACTAATGATAATGGAATTCTATCAACATCAGTTTATCATAAACCATCTGCTGAACCCTATGTTGTACCATTTATATCGGATCATCATCCACATGTATGTGCTAATATTATTGAAACTGTTCTAGCACGAGCTATTCGATATTCCTCAACCTTCGAAGCATTTAATAAAGAACGACGTAATATTAAACTCATGCTTTTATATAATGGGTGAGTGTTTATATATATAACTATACGAAAGAAGATGAGTTTTTTTTCAATGATGTATCATTTAGTTATCCATCTGGGTATATTGAAAATCAATTTAAAAAGTATTTCATTGAATATACCAGTACATCACCATTTTTACCTTATATTCAACATGAAACACAATATTTTCGTATGCGTCAACAACTATTGAGTCAACCAACAACTCGTCAATCTCAAATAGTAACACGTTTAACTTCAACTAATGCCGATAATGATCAAATAGATGATACAAATGTAAAGAAGGAAAATGCAACATGTAATAACGATCGATTATTTATTCATTATACACATGAGAAAAGATTTCGATCATTCAAACGAGATATGCATCAAGTTTATGACAATGTGTTCAAAAATACACCAGCAATGAACACGAAATTAATCGTTGGTAATCGAAATCGTCGTGATGCACTGAATGAATTGATACGTAAACGACCAAAACGATCTTTATTACAGAATATATTGATAAAAAATAAATACTCAAAACTCTTAGGTTAGTACTCTTCATGATATTCTAATCTATTCATCTTTTATTAAATAGAAAGACGCAGACAACTCAATAGAGCTACCAAAAACAGTCGAACAACTGCTTCATCATAAACACTATCATTCTTTTCTTTTTGCTTTTATCTTGCATTTTCATTCATATTATAATCATATTTATTAATCAGTCTATTTGCTTCATACTTTTTAAAAAATATACAACTTTATTATACATTAATGTTGATTTTCTTTTTCTTTTTATTATATATTGTAGATAAACATTACAAATTATTCTCAAACTGATCATGAATATGAATATTGATTTATTATTATTTCTTATAAATTTCATTTGTTTATTTGCATTATTATTATTGAATTTTTATTTGCAAAATAGAATTCAATTAATTATTAACATGTTAAACAGAGAACGAATTATAATTAAGAATCAAAAAAGTAACAAAAATAAATCAAATCTATTAGATTTTGTACCATTGAAACGTTACAAAGTTTTCCCTATTGATGAAACTACATCATCAGATACATTACAAGAATTAATAAAAATAGCTAAGAAAACATACATGATGACATTATTTCCATATGATCATGAGAAATCAAATATACATTATCTTCAAATAGAATTAATACAAGATGAAATATCAATTATAATAAATATTGCTTTTTTTCTTGGATATAATATTGTCTTACCAGATATAGATGAATTATTATCAGTTATTTTTCATCGATCAAAATCAATTCAAATTTGGGGTACATCAGAAAGATTTAATTATGATCATGGTTTCAATTTAATATATAGTCC